GATCGGAATAGTTACAGTAGCAAAAACCATGCTACATTACACTAGTGCGGTAAAAGTCCAATTGGTCACTTTGATAAATAAACAATTAAAAAGATTTTGGAATGTTTAAATAATTAATTACAAAACTATGTTTGATGTGTTTTAGAGATTCTGAATGTATCTAACGCAAACTTATATAAGATGATGAATTTCCCCTCTACAAAGAAATTAATTAAACTTTTGATGGAAATGCAAGTGGGTGGATAGTAATCCTTTGAGTTAGTTAATTGTTTATGCTAGTAAAATTTGGGGATTGAGAGTAGGCTAATAGAGTCATTATGAAGTTAAGTGGGCGTTTTAACCATGCTTCCAGATTCCTAGTCCTTTTTTTTTTCAGATTTCAATGCTTCTCTCTACAGCTGCCAACACTGACACCATTTCCTCTTTTTTTTTTTTTTACCATAGATTAGGTGAGATTGAGATTACATCATTACTTAGTCTTTCTCTTGCACATGTTAATTTTTGTTGTTGTTGTAACCATGAAGCCACATATATAAGAGAAACATCAGAGATTATGGAGATGAGTGTGAAATGGGACCACCACAAAATGGGATGAGTATTTTGACGGCTAGTAGACAAAGAAACGTGACACGATGAGAAAGAAAAAATATTTTGCATGAAAAGAATGACTATCTCTGCACGAACCACACACTCATTTGCATCTCTACCAAAACCGAATTAAAAAAAGCGAGTCTATTTCATGTAATAAAAGTAAACATGGAATTTTACTATGAATTGTGGTCCCCCTAGCCTATCGTATATGGGTACAAGCTCCATTCTCATTACTACTCATAACTCATAATCACATAGTATATGGTCCCTTAGGCTATATAGCCTGTACCATATTGTTTAAGATTATTACTTATAGACTTGTAGAGTATCTCGCTTTGGTGTGTCCGGTGGGCGATTCAAAAATATTGCTCCCCACACAAAAAAAATGAGCATTTTACTAATGGGCCGATTATTGATTGGCAAAAATATATTGGGCCTCAACACACAAGAAAAGGAGACTCACAAATATGGAGACGGATACAAATACAATTTATCTGGTGGTTACAATACGACATCAGTCGAACTTGCGGACATTGGTATGGTTGCGTCTTTTACACGGTTAGGTTTACGATGCCCAATCTGTGTCCTCCTCTTCTTCTGTGACAGTTTCTTCTCTAGGCTTTTGACCCGACCAGTTAGCTTCGATATGGCTTCGAGTTGTTCTTTGCCTGCTTTTACTAATGTGTCCATCGTTTCCTTGAATCGCTGGTTCTCCTCCATCAGCTTTTTGGTCTCTTCTGGTATTTCACGTTCAGTGACTTCTGTCTCTGGAGGCTGTTTTGTCTCTTCTTGTGGCTCAGAAATCGTCTCTTGGGCTAGTAGTAGTTCTTTGGAGTGATCAGACGAGAGGTCAATGTTTGTTTCCTCCCGGATCGCTGTTTCAAGGTCCATTGCAGTCATTTCCGCTTCACGAGTACATGATGATGAATCTTGTGAAAGAACCTGCATTTCATCATCAGTCACTCCAACAGGTAGTACCTCGGAGAACTCGACATATTCCTCTGAAGGCAATATAGTATCATCCTCTGCCTTTCTCTCTACATTCTCCAATACACTCCCCTCAGTTTCAGAGACTACGGTCACATTTTCTGGGCCTGATGTAGAGCTTTCTACCACTTGCGGCAATTCATTCTGTGGCTCCTCCAAACTCTTCACCACGGCATTGTCTTCCTCAATGTTTGTCACTGTCACTTCCTCTCCATCAGCTGAGAGTGGATTGACTGGTTGCACAAATTCAACCTCTCCAATTTTCTCTGGAACAGTTGTCGAGGTAGCAGCTGCCTCACATGTGCTTGATTCAGTAGCTGGCTCAGGATCGGTCACCAAGGTTTTAAACAATCCAGATCCCTCTTCTGCTTCAGCAACCGGTTGTGCCTCGGTCCTATTCAAGACACTCGGAGGATGTTCCTCAGGAGACGGAAGACGAACCTCCTCTGTATTTGTCTCAGGTACCATTTTGTTCTCTTCTGCAAGCTGAGTGTGCTCCAAGTTCACTGGAAAGTCACTGGTCTCAGAGGTAATTTCGACTTGTTCCTCTGCTTTCTCTTTCTCTGCAATGGCACTGCTACTTTTCATGGAGTCAAGCTTCTCTTGAATGTCTGAGAGCTCTCGGACCAAAGATTTTCTGTGATCTCTTATACCAGGATGCAAGCCCTGCAAGGAAAAACAGAAGTATAGGTAATTGTCACAAACAATTCTTGCACAACAACACATACTTAGTCGGCATGTCAATGAAATCAATACCACAGCAAAATATCAAGTTCTTTACCTGAACAGAATCCAGTTTCAGTAGAAGGTTCATCACCATTTCTCCAAGAATTACAGTCTCCTTCTCTTCAATGCGCTGATCAGTAGAAACATCTAGCGCCTGGATACGCTTTTTGATATCCCCCATCTGCTCGCGGACAGTAGCTATCTCCTTCAGTTTCTTAATTGGCTCCCATCTTCTCACATCATATCCGCGGTATCTAGATTGGATAAATCTAGCAGCTTCCTCTTCTGTAAAGGTCTTCTTTGCAGGCTTTTCTCTATTCTCCTTAGTTTCACAAGATTTAACAATCTCCCAGTTTGCTCCTCCTTGCAAATTAGAATTGCTTTCAACTGATTCTTTTTCTGTTCCTGTTGAATTTACGGGCTCCTCAGACATCTTTTCTTTGTTTGGCTCTTCACATTTTACATCACAAGCCTCATGAGCAGACTTTGTTTCAGCCTTCTTTGAGCTCAGTGGCGATATGACCTTAGTCTCTTCTGCCTTCAAGGGTTGTTCCTTTCGTCTAGGAGAGTTTAGAGATTTGGCACCACTATGTTTCCTCTTTGGCAGCGGGTCAACACGCAGACAAACCGGAGGTAACCTAGATGCTTTTGGTGGAGACGGAGGCTGCTCTCTTTTTGTGTTCCCAATTGGCTCTGTCTTCTTCACAATCGTTTTGGTTGGTTCTGTTGGCTTTGGTAGATGGCTCTCTGATAATTTCACTGGAATGGTCCTTGGTTCTTGTAGTTGGTTTTCCACGGGGATACTTCTCAATGAAATTTTCTTCTCCGCATCCGGGAGTAGACTGCACTCAAAGTTCCCTTCTTTGCCTTCGTTCTGGGTTTTTGGACCTGCATTTCCGTGGAGAACAGAGGGGACGGCTTGGGGTTTTCGACCTTCATTTCCGTAGAGATCAGAGGGGAAAGACTTCAAGTTACGCCCTTCATTACTACTCTCCTTACTCTCAGAAGCTTCAACATTTTCCTGTTTCCCATGAGATGGTATCCGAAAAATAGGATACGGTAGCTGTCCTTGCTCTCCCTTGTTCTTCTGGATCTGCTCTTCCTTCGTGTCTTGACCCTGCAACAAGGATTTCAACTTGCTCAAATCAAACGGCAGTTCGATGGTCTTCCCATTCTGCGCCTTTTTCCTGTCTTGATTCTGTACCAAGGACTTCATGGTGCTCTCGTCGAATGGAAAACAACCATTCCAAGGATTGGGAAAAAATTTCTGTACCGTCATGTTCTCAGGGGCTTTACACTCGGCCGGAGGCTTTTCATGGTTCCCTGACCCAACAGAGCTGCTTCCATGCTCTTGATTTCTAGCATTGTCATGAGGAATCCATATAGTTGGGTAAGGGCCATTGGTCGAACGAACATGAAATACAGCTTCTCCTCGGCTTCCTTTCTCATTCTCAGGCTCATGCTCTTCAATCACAACCCCTGTTTCATTCTTCGGGTAACACATCTGTGGAGAACATTTTCCACAGCGATGCTCCACAGGCACGTCTTTCTCAGAACCATACCAAGGTTGATAACCAGCTGGAAATGGTGGATGAATGTAACAAGGAGGAGCGTACGACGCGTGCGGATGAATCCCAGGATGGTTCACGCAATATGGATGGTAAGGTACTTGTGGAGGATAACAAGGAGGCCAGTAAGCATTATATGCAGGAAAGTTGCCATGGACACAGCTTCCGTGACACGGTGATGGAGCTTCCATTGTCATGTGTTGAGGTTGATTGTTCCCAAACGCTTGATGATAGTATCCTTGTGGTCTCATATGGCATGGTTGCGATGAGTCATTGTACACAGGCATCATCTTTGATCAACTTCAATTAACCGATTCCAATATAACTGCAGCAAATTCGCAAACGATGATAAATTAGTAGAAGAATACACAAAATCTATTGCATTTCCCAAAGTCACCAACTAGTATTAGTAACTTCCAATGAAATCAAATCGAATTGAACATCTAATCACCAAGATCTACCCAATCAATTGCATCTTCACATTAAACACACGGAATTCTTCGATTTAAGTTGCATTTGCGAAAGGCAATAACAATTAACTTCCGATTAAACCAAATCGTGACATGATCGAACACCAAACAACCAAAATCCCCCCCATTTACTGACACTAATCCCCATAATCTTCGAAACAGCAGTGAAATTGGGATTCTCAGAGAAGAAAGCTTACACAAAACCGAATCGATAAGCAGCCAAATCGATCTTCAACTCCAGATGACTCAGTTCCTTTGAAATTCACTCTCCACCAACCAAAAACCGCAATTTTCTTCTTCGATTTCTTCCCTGATTCCGAGGATCGTCGCTTTTTTTTTTTCCTATGGATAGTGAAAAATCTGAAGACATTTTCTGATTTATAGAAAGACGAAGAACATTTGGAGGGAAAAGATCTTTCTTCTTCTCTCCAGATCATTCTCGCTTGGACCATTTTGAAGAATCTGGAAATTTCTAACATGATTTCGCTTCTGAATTAATTAATATGGGCCATATAGATTAGGCCCATTAAGTTACACAGGCTCATTATTGGGCTTGGGAATTTATTTAGGGTTTAAATTGGTAAATTTGAAGCTTCGTCTTCAATGTCGGTCTCCGTCTCTGATACCTCCTGAGCAATCCCAAAACCTCTCTGCCTCCGCCGATTCTGAGCTCGTTTCGTAGATTTAGCTTCACATTTACTTTGCTTCGTTCTAGGGTTTTTTTTTTCTGTATTACTCTTTGCTTCGAAGATGGGAAGGGCAAAGAAAGCTCAAAAGTTTGCAGTGATGAAGAAGATGATAAGCCACAAAGCTTTGAAGCAGTAAGTAAAATTTGATCCTTTTAGTGTCTTTTTTTTTGTGGGTTCTTAATCTTCTTTTGCTTTTGTTATCTTCAGTTATAAAGAGGAGGTTCTGAATCCAAACAAGAAGGATCTCACTGAACTTCCGAGAAACGTGTAAGCTTCCTTTTGCTAAAGTTGTGATTTTTGAGTTTCCTTAGAATTTAGATTTTGATTTGTTTTTTGTTTTTTTTGGGATTAGTCCGAATGTTCCTTCAGGGATGTTCTTTTCTCACAACACTAATTTGGTTCCTCCTTACCGAGTTTTAGTGGATACTAACTTCATCAACTTCTCAATTCAGAATAAGGTACAACATTTCTCTACCACAGAGCTATAATCAAGAATGTGTATGATAAAAAAAGATTCATCTTTGTAGAGTTATGGACCTGATTGGAATCTAGTTTTTGTTCTAATTGATATCTTTTTTTTGGTTTAATTTGTATCTATAGATTGATCTTGAGAAGGGAATGATGGACTGTCTGTACGCAAAATGTGAGTTACTGAATCTTTGTTAGATGTCTTTAATTATGCATAGATATTGCAATATTCTCTCTCTTGTTGACCTTTGATTGTTTCGGGTTTGAAGGCACGCCTTGTATCACGGACTGTGTCATGGCTGAGCTAGAGAAGTTAGGTCAGAAGTATCGTGTAGCTCTAAGGTAAAGCTTTTAGACTTCAAAGAAAGTTTTCAGTAATATCCATCACGGATTTGTTTTCGTGGATGTTCATTTTGGTTACTATAAAATTTGGTAGGATTGCGAAAGATCCTCGCTTTGAAAGGCTACCTTGTATACATAGAGGCACATATGCTGATGACTGTCTTGTTGACAGAGTCACTGAGGTAATGCTTCCATCTTTTGTTTGTTTATGTAAAGAGATACTATTGCTCTAGTCTCATGGTTCTTGATGTATGTACTCTATTTAACTGTATGTCTATGTGATATTCTTTCTTGTAATATACAGCATAAGTGCTACATCGTGGCTACTTGTGATAGAGATTTAAAGCGAAGGATTCGCAAGGTAAAGATTGTTTAATATATGTTAATGCTTTGTTTTTACACGACTGAAATCGTTTGGATGTTAATATTTCTTTTGTTTGTTCGCAGATTCCTGGTGTACCGATCATGTTCTTGGCAGGACGCAGATACTCAATAGAGAAGTTGCCTGAAGCAACTATCGGTGGAGGTATGAATCTTTCGACTGGGATATCTGAATCTAAGGAGTACTTAGGTATTAGCTTATTCGAATTCGCTTTTGTAACATTTACTGGGTTTTATTGTGCAGCTCCAAGATTTTGATAAATGAACACAGATCGTCGTATGGATTCCAAGAAACTCTGAAGCCTGAGTTAGTCTGTTTTAAGCTCTGAATCAAATGACTAGGAAAGGTTGTGTTATGATATCTTGAGCCATTTTTGTTCTGTGAGTTGGCTAAATCTTCTGTCTGTTTCATACAAGGTTAATTAATAACAAAATAGAAATCTTTTGCACTTCAAAGCCCTTTAAAACACATTATTCTTAATCTATTACACAGTTTTGTTAATGACAAACCATAATCATGTCTTGTTTGACTTCGTACATTGAAGTGGGAATTAAACATAATTACATGAAAAGAAACGTGGTTATGGTATGATATTGAAATTTCTTTCTCACTATAGAGAGAGTTGGTGTTTTCACGAGACATAAGCAGCTTTGAGCTTTGGAGTTTTCTGCTTGACGAAGAATGCAGAAAGAACACTTTTGGTTCGAACAGGAGCTTGAATGATCTCTCGTCGTGGGTTGTTGTCAAGTGACTTGTGTACTGTCAGAAGTTTTGGAACCTCCAAATCCTGATGAACAACAAACTTGTCTTATCAAAACCATGAACGCACAGCTTACTCAATCTAATTTGTTACCGAACAAAGCCATTTAACTACTCATATCATGCGACATTTGTTTCATGTATTTTCCAAGATTTTACCTTGTGGACAACACCGTATGTCTGCTTTGTGACAACGGATGTTGCAGGAACACCGGGGACCTGAGAACCAGCCAAAGGCTTCTTGTTTATTATGTTTTCTTCATCACCTGCATGAGTTTCAATGTATATCATCAAAATCTCCTCATTATGAGTTGTACTAGAAGAATGCAATGTTCGATTCATCTTCAATTCCCTGTTTCTCGTACCTAATAGATGGAACACTCCAGATGTCTTTGTGAAAGCTTTTGAGTCTTTGGAGCTGCACAATAAAGATGGTATTAGTTACTTGGTTATCGAGAACGTAAGAAACAGTTTTAAAGCTTTTGTGGACTCACCTTGGTGCAACCGCGGATGTTCCTTTGAGTGTCGACTTGGTCTCTGAGCCTAAATGCCAGGAGAGTGATTTAGATGCAGGGGCATCTAAAGTGAGTCAAACCAAGCATTACTTAATGATTGCATTACTTATTATGACTGCTTACATTAAACAAAGAAAGCTCAAAGATGAGGACATCGCACCTGAAGGTTGAAGACGGGATATAGCTTGATAATGATTCTGTCTTGTATCAGTCCGTCGAAGAGGACTAAAATGTACTCTCTTGTTAACAGAATCTAACAACAACCAAGAAGAAAAGGATTCAGATTTCAACGACGATTAACAGAATCTCAACACTCGCCAAAGAAAAAGAAAAAAAAACTCTTACTAGGTAGAGTGTAATGCTTGTGATGCAACGGAATAACTGCTAATAGCTGTTGCTGTCTAAGACCTTCTTTATCGATATATGTCCGGCATGTAAGCAGTTGCTGAATGATATGAAGAATACATACACAAACCCATTAAAGAGAGTATGTCAAACCAAAGATTAAGATCGATAAATAAATGTTGTTACCTGGTTTACACAAGAAGCTCTCAACTCCATAGTTGATATATCTGAATTCTGCTGATCAAATAAATCAGTAAGCTTTGAAGCTACAGTTCCAAGGTGATCAACAGCATTCACCAGAGCCTTTACAGTGTAATCCTTCAAATTGTCCAATACCCTAAAACAAAAAGGTTAATGTAAAGAGAAAACATTATGAACAAACTATCATTCAAAGCTATTGGTAAGTGAAATCAAATGTTACATTTGCTTTTGCTCGCTATGAAGATATGATTTTTCACAGTAATCAGCAGCTGAGTAAAGTTGAGGCCTCAAGTTCTTGAGCTCCTGTTTACATCAAAGTAAAAGGGTACAAAATTACATAACAGTATAAAGCCAAAAACCATCCAACAAAATCAGAAAGATTTCTTCAGAACAAAATCCCTAAATGGTATTATAAAGTCAAAGCCATTGTCTTAATCTCTTATTGACACAGAAGCAATCTTTGATAACACTAACCGACAACCATCATCTTTGGTCCCATGTATAACTTTTACACAAAATTACAGCAAAAACAACACTTTAGTTTTTTTTTTACCAAAGGGACCACAAACTTTATAGCATACACATGGATCTGGCTCAAACCAAAACCATGTTAGAATCCAGAGACCAACGAGGATACCTGTAATGCCTTGACGAAGCTCTTGCTGCGTTCCATTGAAACCTCGTCGAAGGTCATTGTCGGATTATCCGTTCCGGAAATCTCTGTTTCCATTTTTAGCTTCTTCTTCTTCTCAAGTGGTGATTCAAGTCGAATTAAGCGATCAGAGGAAATAATTAGGGTATAAATTACGGGTTCGTATTCGGATTACTCTATGAATTTGTTGTGATGTGAGAGGGTTAGCTTTCTGGTGAGACTGCTAAGCTAACTT